TTGTTTTTTTCTAAATAATGTTCAGGAGTGATGTTTCCCCGTTCCTTCTAGAAATAGCTTATTTTCAGTCAGAGCTTACAGTTTTCATCCGTCAAAATTTTACACTTTTGACTCCGCGCCAATTTTTTTTTAATTTTTGAATTCCAACCATAAAAAATTGTATACGTTCTGCTTCTTCTAGAAAACGCCAGAATTTTCTGAAAAGTAACTTCCAGAGCACTTGCCATTGGAGATCTCGGCTTCCTGTAACTACCGTAATCCTACAGTATTCTTTCCCATTTTTTTCGTTTGTGTACTATTGAGGTCCTCTAGATGCAAAAAGTGGAATAATTTCAGGTTCCACTGAACCTAATCAGCCGGAAGTGTGACTTTTTCCAAAGTTAGACCAGTTTCTGTTTGTATGTTTTGGCAGTAGTTATCTGATCGTACCAAACTTCCTGAAGCATAACACAAAATTATTCCAAGATTTCAAAAGTTGATCTACTGGTTTTTCAATCTTGTCGATCTAGTTGATCGCCTAGATTAGATAATCACTTTTCAAAATTCAAATTTGTTCGCAATTGTTTTTTAACGGAAATTCGGTCACTACAATAATCCTCGAAGTACAGAATTTCATATCCTCTAATTTATGTTCCAAACATCATGAAGAAGCAATATGTGAATTCATTTTATCTTGGAATTGAATCTTGCAGAAAAATGTATTCAGATAGAGATGACGGAAGAGGCGAAAAAACTTGTTTCGGTAGTGTTTCGTTGTTGAAAATATGTAGGATTAATATAAGTGACAATAGGGACTTAGTTTCTGGACTAATTTGTAGAAAATTCAAAGGCACACATGAAAAATTTGAGTAGTGGCCTGATTTTCTCGAAGTTCGGATTTTTAGGCCACCGTGTCAAGTTTAGGTGGATCATGCTCCGAATGACTTCTCAATCATTTTCCAGTTTTTAGAGCTCAAAAATATTGAGTTTGAGCTGAGTTATACTCAATTTCGTGAAATTGCTCAGAATAAAATTTTCCAGTATTTCGATTATAACTCGGCTCAAAATGAAGATTTTTTCTCGATTTTATAACCAATCTGTAGAAAATTCAAAGGCGCGTCTGTTGATATAAAAATGATGTGTTTTCACAAAAATGGTTTGATGGCCTAACTTTTCCAATATTTCGTTTCCTAGGCCACCAACCCAAATATGAGTGGATTCTGCTCTGAACGATTTCTTAATCATTTTCCAGTTTTTAGAACTCAAAAATATTGAGATTGAGTCGAGTTATGCTAAAATTTGTGAAATTGCTCAGAATAAAATTTCCGAGTATTTCGACTATAACTCTGCTCAAAAATCAAGATTTCAAGCCGGTTTTCAGATCAATCTGTAAGTAATTTCATTGCGCATTTTTTGAGTGTTGATGGCCTAACTTTTCCAAAATTTGATTTTCTAGGCCACCACTCATTTCAGCTCCGGAAAGGTCTTGAAACTACAGTAACCGGTAACATAGATCATAAATTCATGTAAAAATGTCAAAAATCACATTTAATCATCATTTCCTCTCCTCCTCCTCCTCTCTGCTAACCCTCTTATCACACATTTTGAAACATTGAGTAGGGTATACCTCCTTATCAAAATGTTTCCTGTCTCTCTCTCTTTTTTTTGCTAAAATAATTCTGAAAAATGAGAGAGGAGGCACTCGAATCGATTTGTGCAGCACTTTCTATCAGTTTTTGTGAGGACCCCGCTCATTTGGAGGCTATTATTGATCGATTTTCGGAGGTAGGGTCAATTTTTGGGAAAATTGGATCATTTTTTCTAGGCCACTTGTGTTTTTTTTTCAGGAAGAAGAAACGCTTGAATTTGAAAAAAAATATTTTCGGAAAGTTAGGCCATTTTTGGATTTCTAGGCCATCAATGATTTTCTAGGCCGCTTAGGGATTTCTAGGCCATCGCTAAATTTCCTAGGTAATCGTTGGTTTTTTTTAGGCCACGTTAGGAATTCCTAGGCCATCATTACTTTTTAGGTCATATTTGTTATTCTAGGCCATTCTTGGATTTCTAGAACATCTTTGGTTTTCTAGGCCATCAATGGTTTTTCTAGCCTGTTCTTGGATTCCTAGGCCACCATATTGAGTTTCTAGACCATTATATTGGATTTCTAGGTCATACTTGGATTTCTCGGCCATTTTTGGATTTCTTGCCCATTCTGGGTTTTCCAGGCAAGCAATGGTTTTTCTAGGCCATCTTTAGTTTCTTAGGCTACTTTTGTCTTTCTAGGTCGTTTTCGAATTTCTAGGCCACGTTAGGAATGTCTAGGCCATCATTGCTTTTTAGGTCATATTCGTTATTCTGGGCCACAATATTAGGTTTCTAGGCCATTTCCTCGGTTTCCAGGCCATTTTCGGATTTCTAGGCCATTAGCGGATTTCTAGGCCATCCTCACCCCAAGCATACTTTTTTCAGATCTTCAAAGTAAAGGACCGGCTCCAATCGTTACGGAAAAAATGTGAGAAATTTGTGAGTCTAAAAGTTATATCTTTCTGTAGTTCGGCCATGTGGGTCTCGCCGCGAAAAATTCTTACTGTATTATTTGGGAATTTTCTAAAGCGCGGCGAGACCCAGCTAGCTGAGCTTAACCGGCTAATGCACCGGTGTGATAACCAGCCTCGGATACCTATTTTCAGCAAACATACACTCTGGAAATACGTCCAGTTGGTGGTGGAGGAGGAGGAGGCAGTGGAGGATCATCAGCGAGTTGTCCCGACAATGTTTATGCCTATGTTTTGGAGTGAGTTTTTTGAATTTCAAATCTGATGGCCTAGGTTTTTCTAGGCCACATTCTAATTCCACGTCTTATTTAAAGGCGCATTCAAGTTTTCAAAAAAAAAAGTTTTTCAGACCAGATTCATGCCGACAACAGGAGCTGAAAACAAGCGGGATCACCAAATTGTGAGTTTTTTTTTTGAAGTTTTGAAAATTCGATTTGGAAAAAAACCTAGGAAAAAAAATAGGCTAAAACTCGGGTTACGATATATTTGAAAATTGGGGATTTGGTGGTCTAATTTTGGTTTTCTAGGCCATCATCAAAATTACAAATTGTAGATCAAAAAATTTCCCTATCGACTTATATAAATATCATTTGGAGTTAGTTCAGAAAATGTAAGTCAAAATAGGTTAATTTGGCCTAAACTTAAACCCAATGACCTAATCTTGGATTTCTAGGCCATCATAAAAATTTGGAAATTGTAGATCAAAAAATTCCCTATCGATTGATATAAAAGTCATATTGGGTTACGTTAGGAGGCGTATATCAAAACTTGGAAAATCAAAATTTTTTGGGTTTTGACTGAAATTTTTGATTTAGAAAAATGGGCGTGGGCTGTCTAACTTTTCTGAGGCTCTCAGATTTTTTGAGACTCATTTTTCTATTTTGCCTCATGAAAATTTGATTTTTGATTGTCGAAGCCTTACCGAAGCGCCGGGGGCGCGTCGTGTTTTCACTTCGAACAACAATTCAATAGACCAATTTTCAGAGAAATCAGCACGTGCAAAGATGTCTCCCTAAAGTTTGGCCTCACCCTCAAAAAGGACGGGACCCCCAAGAAATCCGGAGTCTCCCGATCCGCCTCCCTCCTGAAACGGCTCACATTTTCCGATAAAAAATCTGGAGACGAAATCCTAAAAATGAGTGTTTTTCCGTTGGATGTATCGGTTCGAAAAAATATAAATTTGGGAAACGGGAAATCGGTTTTATTGGAAATGACACTCGTCCGGAATGATCATCGGAATATGATACCCCTTATGGAATTTGATGATTTTTTGGAGATGACTAGCAGTTTTCATGAGTGGCAGGCCGAGAATTGTGAGGTAGGTTTTACGGGGGAGGGGTGGCCTAGTTTTGTTTTTCTAGGCCGCCAAGTGATGGCATGGCGACCGCGACGCGACTGCAACGCGTATAACGACACTGCGTACAGTGAGGACAATTGTCACGTGCACAGGTCGCGTTGCGGCCGCGTTGCGATTATGGCGCGGAAAAGGACTATGCGAAAAATGACTCGAAAAATTTCGAAAAACGTTTTTTTTGGAAGTTTTTTGGAGCGAAAAATATGAAAAGGAAATTTTTTTTCGGAAAATTTTTTTCGATAAAAAATGAATGAAAATCCGGTTAAAACTTTGCGAAAAAAAACTTATTTCTTCAAATTTTGTCCACGCAGACTACACGAGCGGATTTTTTTCTAGGCCGTCATTTTGCGCGGTAGTTCGAATAAAACATACGATTTTTCATTTTTTTTTCGACTTTTTTGAGATTTTTTTTGGCAAAAAAGAGTTTTTCGGCTTCTAAATGGCAAAAAAACCCAAAAATAGCGCAGAAAATGGGTTTCCCGCCGAATCCAGTGTAGTTGGAAACGCTGCGGTCGCGTCGCGGCTGCGGCTCGGAACTCAAGCATGAAGAGACCGTTCGAACTGAAGTGAAGTCTTCGTTTTTTGTCTGTTAATCAATAATTATACATTTGGATGGCCTAGAAAATCCTAGGTCAGATTTTTCTAGGCCGCCAATTTCGAAAGTTAGGCCACCAATCTCAGAAAATATTAGGCCACCATTCAAAATTCAGACCGAACTATACGATGGAAACCTGGGCGACCCGACGTTTGCGATGTTCTATTCAATCGCATTCTTCTTTGAAATTCCGTCGTTTGTCCTCAAAATTACGTGAGTTTCTTTCTCTTTTTTTTGAGTTTCTCTCAAAAATTAGAAACTGATTAATCAAAAAATTCCAGAGAAATGACATGCTTCCTGGTTTGGGACGATGAAATGAAGGTAAGGGTGGACACGCCCACTTTTCGAAGGAATTGTTTTCCAGAAACTCGACGAAAAAGCACTAACAGATGTTAGTCTGAAAATGGCGGCGTGCGAGTCGGAGGTGGATTTGCAGCATCCGTTGTTGGTGAGTGAACAGAGAGAGAGAGAGAAGAGAGAGTCTCCTCTATGCCCTCTCCCAATGTCTCTGCGTGTCGCATGCGTGGCGCAGTGGCTAACGCTGCTGTCTATCATTTTTTCAGCGAGGGTTCGACTCCCTGCGGGTCAATTTTTTTTGTTCTTTTTTCTCAATCCATTTTTAGGGTTTCTAGGCCATCCCCATCACTCCTAGGCCACCATTTAGTCTTCCAGAACCCCGCCCTCATCTACCTGAACGATTGCGCGTGCAACACCATTCGATTCATTTTGGAACCCTACTCCAACGAGCCATTCTTCCCGCCCGTCTCCAATTCTCGCCTAAAATCGATAAATGTCTCGCTGAAACTCATCGCCGATATATGCGTCTTGGATGTTTGGGATGAATTCGAAACACTGGCAAATCCGTCGAATTTCCTGTCGTTGGAACTGAAGAAATTACTGGAAAAGAGTGCTTGGAAGTACGGGGAGTCACTGAAGAAAATGGAATTCCATGAATTGTGTCGACAGATTCAGAATTTATGGATGACATTGTCCAATGAGAGTCAACCGTATTATATATTTTTTCATCAATTCGATATCAATTATATCGGAGCGGCCATGTTGAAATTGGATGAGTCGGTGAGTATTGGAAGAGACGCAGACAGCTAGATTGTCTGGCTGTCTGCGTCTCTTTTTCGAAAAAAAAAAAGAGAGCTGGAGAGAAACAGACAGCTAGACACTCTCGTTCTCCGCGTCTCTCTCTCTCTCTCTCTTTGCTCCTAAGAGACGCAGGCAGCTAGTGACTCTCGTTGTCTGGGTCGAGAGAGCGAGAGGGAAAGAGAGAGAGAGAGAGAGAGAGAGAAAGAAAGAGAGAGAGAGAGAGAGAGAGAGAGAGAGAGAGAGCGAGAGCGAGAGAGAGAGAAAGCCTAGCTGTCTGCATCTCCCCTAGCAGTGGCCACTGTGAAAAAGAGACGCAGACAGCTAGAGGGCCTGCGTCTCTCTATCTCTCTCTAACTCAGAGACGCAGACAGCGAGACTGTCTCGTTGTCTGCGCTCTCATCCTCCCTCATTTCCAGCTCACCATCGCCATCAAAGCCTCCCTGGACTACCAACTCCACGAAATCAACCTCCGGAATCCCATCGATCTGGAGAACTTCACCAAAACCACAATGCGTCTTTTCGTCACCCTCCGAAATCTCCTGAACATGGTCGAGGCATTTCATCTACCCGAATGTCAACTCTTCCATTTCGAGGAATGGTTCACGGATATCACTGTATTCTGGACGTTCTCGTGGCGGGAGGTCACCCAGAAGATGGTGGAACGGACTATCACTCTGGATGAGGACGGGGATTCGGTGAAGTATGGAGCCCGACGGCCTCTGCCAGCTGGCCTGTACTCGTTTTTGTGTATTCAGAAAGGTACGGGGAAGGGTTACTGTAGTTAGATCCAGGATTACTGTAGATCTGAAATGGTGGGTTACTGTAGTTGAACCCTGGACTATGATTACTGTAGTTGTACCTAGGATTACTGTAGAAGAAAAATTCCAGGAATTTCTGATGACATGGCGAGGCTGGAGTTCACTTTACCGCATCATTTGGTGATTTGTTCGGCTTCGGTGGTTAATGTGAGTTTGTTGCACAGTGAAAGGGTAGGGAGACGCAGACAACGAGACAGTCTCGTTGTCTGCGTCTCGTTCACCGTAGTCTTTGTAGTCTCACAGCCCTCCACCTCAAATGTTCCAGATAATGTGTCAAAACATCAACGCGTACGCCAAAAAATTGTTCTCCGAAGCGATGCGACATCACGAGGAGAAGGCATCCCGTCTTGTGAGAGCCACCAATGGAATCGAGCAGGCAATGTGTTTTGTGGAGGAAGGGTATCGGCGGTTCGCACAGTTCCAAAGGGTTGAGGAGGTGATTTTATATAAAAAAAAAGAATCAAATTCAAAATTCTGAGTTGCCTGATGTGGTCCAAATGGCCTGAAGCGGCCCAAATCGGCCCCAACGGACTAAATCTGTCCAAATAAGCACAATTCTGGCCCAGCGGACCATTTTGGACCATATCAGTCCAAACGGGCCGATTCGAGTCAATTTAGGCCAGACGGACCGATTTAGATCATTTTTGGTCAAGTGGGCCTATTCGGTCCATATCGGTCCAAACAGGCCAACTTGGACCATTTTGGGCTAGGCGGGCCGTTTCGGCCCATATCGGTCCAAACATGCCGATTCGGACCGTTTTGGGCCAAGCGAGCCGATTTAGGCCGAGCGGGCCGATTTAGGCCTTATCAGACTAATCTGGCCGATTCGGGCCATTTTAGTCCAGACGGACCGATTTGAACCTTTTCGGGCCAAACGGACTGCTTTGGGCCATATCGGTACAAACGGGCCGATTCGGGCTATTTTGGACCAAACGGGCCGATTTAGGCCTTATCAGGCTAATCAGGCCGATTCGGGTAATTTTGATCATGACGGGCCGATTTGGACCGTTTTGGGCCACGTGGACCGATTCGGGCCAGATCGTATCAAACGGGCCGATTTGGTCCATTTTGGACTAAACAGGCAGATTCGGGCCATATCAGAAAAAACGGGCATATTTGGACTGTTTTGGGCCAAGTGGGCCGATTCGAAACATCTTGGGCGGGACGGACCGATTCGGGCCGTTTTGGGCCTAACGGGCTGTTTCGGGCCACTATGGGCAATTTCGGGCCGGACGTGGCCGCATCGGACCGCTTTGGGCCAGGCGGGCCGATTCGGTCCATATCGGACCAAACGGGCCGCTTTGGACCGTTTCAGTCCGAGGGTACTGTAGTTGGATCATTTTTGAATCTAGGATTACTGTAGATAAATATTGGGTACTGTAGTTGGATCTAGAGGGTCCACGAGTACGGTAGCTTTATTCAGGGTTACTGTAACCTGATCTACAGTAACCTTCACATCTACGATTACTGTAACCATTTTCCAGTACGTCGACGTGGACGACCTGGCCGCCGTCCGAACCACCTCCACTCGTCTCCTGAAATCCACCCGGGAAACGTGTGAACACCAAATCTCAGTACTTTTATCCCATTTCGTCCGCCTAAAAACTGATATTGTCAGTCGGATAGCCAAGAACCTGTGTGCCGATGGAAAAGAGTCGAATAGTGGACTGGTGAGAGGGCCGAGGATTTTTCTAGGCCACCATTTTTTCTCGAAAATTCCAGAAATCATATATGCGAGAGGTGACGTCATCGGAGCGGATTGAGAGTATTTTGGAGTGTTGCTATGGATTGGTGGACGATGTGAGGTGTCTTTTGTTGCCGAAGTAAGTTCAGAAGAGACGCAGACGACGAGACTGTCTCGTTGTCTGCGTCTCGCCGCCTTCTTGCTATAAAACATTTGAAGAGACGCAGACAGCGAGGCAGTCTCGTTGTCTGCGCCTCCTCGCTCTTTCACCATGAAAAATGTGAAGAGACGCAGACAGTGAGACAGCCTTGATGTCTGCGTCTCGAGACAACAAAGTAAAAACTACTTGCAGCTGCTTCAAACTCTCCACTCAACACTTTGCCACCTCTCTTGAGACTCAAATCCGGAAGAATATTCGACAGAGGCAGCCGGCCGAGTACTACAGTAATATTTATGTGAGTTACAGTAATCCTACAGTTAGGGAGAGAGAGAGAGAGAGACGCAGACGACGAGAGTGTCTAGCTTGTCTGCGTATCCTCCTTCTCTTATACGGCGACCAAAAGGAGGGTGCAGACAGCTAGACAGTCTTGTTGTTTGCGCCTCTTCGAACAGTCAGAGCTAGAGAGAGGAGATGCAGGCTGCGAGAGTGTCTAGCTGTCTGCACTCTTCCTCTCTCACCTCACTTCCAATTTAACCGTAGCAAAGAGGAAGTGGGGCAGTCTCGATGTCTGCGTCTCTTTTTCGAGAGGAGACGCAGGTAGTGAGAGTGTCTAGCCGTCTGCGTCTCGTAGACACAAGAGATCAGCACGAAAAAAGAGGCGCAGACGGCGAAAGTGTCTGGATGTCTGCGTCTCACCTCTCCAACCATGTTATCCACCGTAATTTTCCAGATCGCCCTGAAATACATCTACGAATTCCTCGAAATTGATGATCGGAAGGATATCGAACTTCTGTCGGATCTCCATCTGAACAGTTTTTCCACCAAAGACCTAATCCTCTCATATTACGATTCCCTTTGTGAAAAAATCGATAGAACCCGATTCGGAAATGCTCCGCACGTGGATGTGCACATTTCGTATGTGAAATTGGAGCAAGAAGACACGATATCGATTCAGATCAAGTGTGAGTCTGAGGGAGAGAGAGAGATGCAGAGAACGAGACAGTCTCGCTGTCTGCGTCTCTTGGTCTACCGGAAGGCAGGCTGCCACAGAAGAGACGCAGACAAGAAGACACTCTCGTTGCCTGCGTCTCCTATGTGTTGTTTTGTCAGAAATAGTGAGACGCAGACAGCAGGACTGTCTAGCTGTCTGCCTCTCGCCGCCAAGAGGGGACGCAGACAAGCCAGACACTCTTGTCGCCTGCGTCTAGTCTCTCTTGGCGGAAAAGGAGAGACGCAGACAGCGAGAGTGACGTGGCTTGAATCATCTGAAAGGTATTTTACAGTAGTAAAAATGTCGCCAATCGAATGGATCGATGTCCTTTCCGACCGAGTGGACTACTTTGTTCGTCTGGAATTGTTCCCGAAAATTCTATTTCCATCGAACAAGTTCGACTCGCCCACCACTAATCCAATGCCACAATCAACACGACCACAGTGGAAACAGCTCTTTGAGATGTGAGTTTTTAAAGGCGCGCGCACTTACTTAGAGAAAAATTATCTTCGCGGTGAGACCCGATGCTATGGATAGATGCGCCTTTAAATTCTCTCAAGCTTTGTACAAAAACCAGGCCGAAATTTTCAGTTTGAGCCGAGTTATAGTCGAAAAACTCTGAAATTTTATTCTGAGCAATTTCACAAAATTTGGCGTAACTCGGTTCAAACTCGATATTTTTGGATTCTGAAAAGTGGAAATCAATCAGGAAGCCATTTGGAACAGATTTCACAAATGATGGCCTAGAGAACCAAGTTTTGGGAAAGTTAGGCCACCAAGATACTTTTTGACAAGGAACTACGATTTTCATACGACTAAATGCGTCTTCGAAGTTAA